TTACGTTAAGAATATCTCATGAAACATTTGAATGTTTAATCAGAAATCATATTATAAATAGCATAAATAAAAATGTAAAAAAATCAACATTTATTTCAAATGTTCTTTAATCTTCAAATATTTTTGAAAATTTTAAATAGGAATGGATGGTAACCAGACATCTAGTGTGTTACATTAAATAAATATAAAATACAATTTTATATACATCTTTTAGATAGGTAAATATTATATTATGTTCAAACAGTATTATAAAATTGGTTTCTTATATTTACATTGAATCCAAACACGATACATTTTTAACTGTTTACCTCTATTTACTTGCATACGACGATCAACTATATTTTGAACTTGTTCAAAGCCAGCTTCCAAAAATAATTGTTGAACATCTTCTAAAAATATAAGAAAATTCTTTCATTCTTGTAACAAATATCTTAGAGGATTATAATAATTATAATAAATACATAATAATTAAATTTAACAATTCACTATAAACTTTAACTTAAAAAACAGTAGATATCAGAAAATATGTTTAATCATTTAAGACACCAAAACCAAAAGTAAAAACTGATTACATGCCAATCACTAATGTTGAATGCAATAATAACAGTAATTGAAAACAATATTTATTTTTATGGTTTGGATTTTGAAATTAATACTTATTTAATATTTTGGTTTTGATCACAGTGTTAATATGGTAAATTTAAATCTTAAGATCCACCCAGGTGGTTYCGACCATAAAAAACTGATTATAATCGACTTAAGCATTCCACACAGTTGATTCACTGTAACTATACCTTGAGTAAAAAAGTGTACCAACGTTCCATCACCTCTACTGTAATAATTTTCTGATATGCATCTTCCTTCTTTAAACCTTAACTGTGCCATGTCATATCTACCATAATCGCGAAACAATACTATACCTCCTGGTTTCAAATATTTATAAAACTGTCCTACTACATGTTTTAATCTGCAACACATTTAATTTAAAATTAAAATGAATATACAATATTTCTTCTTAATAAATATTGTATCTTACTTTTCTGGTTGAATAGCGGAAAGAACAAAAACCAATAGTATGATATCCAAACTTTCTAAGGCAAATGGTGGATTCCATTCTTCACTAGTTATATCACATACAAATGCTGTGCAGTGTTCTTCATCATATTCTGAATTTTCTCTTAAGATTTTAATGGCATTTGAAGAAAAATCACAACAGTATACATGTACATTACTGTCAACACAGTGTGATAATATAGGAAAGACTGAATTTCCAACACCACATCCCACTTCTAATACAAAGCTTGGTTTATCATTTTTAAGTGAAGTTATTTCAGGAAACTCCGTGAACAACCAACATCTGTTCTTAAAAAATCTAAAAATAAAATAGAGTAAAAACTTAAACTAGTAAATACAAATATAAGGTCTACTCAAAACAGTTAAACACATTGTACATTAGGTAAATAAATAATATATAATAAATCGTCAATTTTAAAAGCAACAAATAATCCGTGATTGCAGTGG